TTGCATTTGCCTTTCTTATGACATGAATGAGAGTTTCGATATCTTCATCCTTGAATGGTAAAACACACCACATTGTGCAAATTCTTTAAAAAAAAACACAAGTGATATTCGAAACATTAAAAACCACGAGTAAATAATGTTGCATTACCACAGACATATCGTAGATCATAAACCTTACTATCCATGTGCAAGCTTTGGTTCTCAAAGATTGATTGACACATGTTTTTCCATTTGTTTTAAGTCTCGGATGATTCCTTCTTATATACTTGGATTGCTCAAAGGAGTGTCACAAGTTAGACCTTGGTTAGGAGGGGCATTAGACACTACGTGTGTTATCTGAGACCTTCACGCTTAGATATAATATATTGGGAAGGTTGGTTAAGTTTGGGGAGTATTAAGGGTCTATCTTTTGGGTCTATGGAAAAAATGCTTACGCCTAGCGCCCAAAGTACCCGTACGATAGGGTTTGTTTGATTATGTTTCAACCAGAGTTGAGTGGGATTCCTACTCAGCTTGGGTGTCTGTAAGTGTTTTTCGAGTCAGGTCGGATGGGTAATGGTCCCGAGTGGCGGAACTGAGGTAGAACTACAAAACTAGGTATGCGTTGGGAAAAATGGAAGAGAAGGAAGGAGGTCGGGGCCTCGTAGGGGGTAAGACCCAGAAAGATAAAAAAAAACAAGCAAAAAACATGTATTACGTGCGCGAAGGTAGTAAGAGGGTCATCACTAAAACGCTAAAACTCGTGCTCAGTTATGAGGGTTTTTTACAACGACACTCTTGCAGACAACCCACAAAGGTGGATGTGGCAGATTGCATAGAGTCACTTAGAGTGCAAAGAATGAACCAAAAACTAAGCACTATAATAGTCTTGGGGTGGAAAAGGAAATTGCGCATTCTAAAATATTATCTGTGGAAAACATGCATAAAGTGTCCCCGTATATTTTGCGAAAGTGTCCCCGTATATTCTAAAATATTCAGGAAAACATGCATAAAGTGTCCCCGTATATTTTGCGAAATAATGAATCAGATGATCATTTCGGTCAACAACTACATGATTGTTAAATTCAATTTACCATGTATTATAAATATTAGTCAAATCGACTACGTTTGTTGGGTTATAGTGCTCGTTGTGTGGTATGCATTAGTCAAGCGGATTGTGACTAACTAAATTGTTGGAGGTCTTGTGCATGCATGTTGGAATCTCGTTGCCAGCAAGTTTTGATAATGATTGCAGTATCCCTTGTCTTATGTATTTGTCAATACTAACCCTCAATCGCGAATTTTCATGTCGGGAGAGGTTTGAAACTTCCTCAATTGGGGTTGACATCTCATAGACCCACCAACCTTCCTCCCCATCTCCCAGTATTCGAACACGAATGAGTTGGCTTTGGTTGTTGCTCGTGCAAATCCACGTTTCGAGTAAGGTGGGAGATGCGTTCTTTTGACATGGTCGATTCATAAGCGTGCAAATTTGTCTGGGTTGCCCCTCTGTTATGGACTCTATAGAGTACCATGGGCAGGGGCAAGGATGCGGCTGAGATGACCCAGTCTCCCTTCCTAACACTGTGGTCTTAGCTTTAGAGTCTGAACCTAGGCTATGGAGTGCTTCGAGCAGTTGATTAAGCTTTTATTTTATGTTCTTGTGGTCTTGAGGTGGGGTTGCATTTGGGCATCCGTTTTCCATTTTCCAAGTTTGTTGATCCCACAAGTCTCCAATGGTATTCTAGCTCGTGATGAGAATGGACTGTGTACTGGCCCAAGTAACCTTCTTCCCTGGGCTAAGTCTTACTTACTGGATTTTTTTATCACTCATCGTAGATTATGGAGATCAATGGTCAGAAATGAAGAATCCGGTTGAGTGGGTTTGATTTTGAGGACCCATGCCTCAATGTTATATATATATATATATATATATATATATATATATATATATATATATATATATATATATAGCCCCTCGGGGTCACCAACCCGTACGTGTGGAGGTCCCCGGGCAGACCTCCGTACGTACGGCGTTCAGGGTCCCGTACGGGGTCCGAACCCGACGACGTTCGGCCCCCGCCAAAAATTAGTTCGGGGCCTAAAAATATATATTTTTTTCTGATTGTTTTTTTGCGAGTTCTCTATGACGCGAGGTACATGCCTGTAAATTTTCAATGCATTTGGCTAAGCCAAAAAATAATTAAAAATCGCCAAAAATGGCGGTGTCAAAACGTGCTCGCCCACATATTGTTTCAGTTTTTACTTTTTGTTTTCACTTTAGTTCGGGGTCTCAACAATTTTATTGTTTTTTGAAACTTTTTTAGTGGTTTTTTTATTCTGCGAAGTACACATCTGTAAATTTTCAGGGCATTTAGCTATGCCAAAAGAAAATAAAAAATTGCCAAAGATGGCGGTGTCGAAAACATGCTCCCGCACTCACTAAATTTAATTCTCTTTTTATTTTTATTATTAGTATTTATTTTCCGTATTTTATTTTTATTTCAAATTTGGTAAGGAATTCGGATG